ACCATTAAATAGTTGTTCGGAGTTTATTCGAGATAATTTAAGCGAATTATAAAACCATTCTAAAGCAGCCGAAAATTTTCCATCAATTATAAGGTTTCGTTTACAATTAGTGCTAGGTGCATGATTACATTTGTATGTTTTGTCTTTACGATCACATCTTGGATCCGAAGGAGATTCAATTTTGCTAATGTCAATTTTAAAAGCTTTATCTTTAGCATTTTCAATAGAACCATCTGTATCAAATTTAAAGCCTTTCTCATGTTCTAATTGTAACAAATCGAATTCTGTAATTTCTTTTTTCAATATATAAAAAATGATCATTATCACTTGTTTCGATGATTTGCAAAAGATTTAATTTAGACTCATCTTTTCGTGAAATTCGAGCCCCATTTTTTTTTTCTTATAAAATAGCAATTAGTTCCCATTTTAAGTTCAATTCGAATAAAATTAAGAGTTTTATTTTGAGATAAAACCGTATATTCTGGTCTTTTATTCTCTGAATCTGTTTTAATGATTGTGATGCCAATTTCGTCATCCATTGTTGAAGAAGAAAATGATTCCATAGGATAGCATTCGTCTTCAGCGGATTTATTATGTGAATCTTTTAGATGATTTTCGGTTTCGGCTAATTTTGGAATATTAGATTAACATGATTTATAAATATAAAAAATAAAATAATATATCTTTTAACATACAGATTGAATTTAGTTCATTATTCCATATTACTACACGATTGCGATATTCTTTAGCTTTCTTCAATGCATTGTCAGCATATAGAAGCAACTCGTCAAAAGTTTTTACTGAAGAATTCATTTCGGAAACTCCAATGCTAAGCGTAACTGATAATTGGGTTTCATTATAAATAAACGGGTGACCTTCTACAGAAGCTCGAATTTCTTCAGCAATTTTAGACGCCAAATTTATATCTGCATCCTTGAGAAGAATAGTAAACTCATCTCCACCATATCTTGCAAAAATATCTTCAGAGCGGACATGATTTTTCTGAATCAAATTAGCCAGCTCTTTTAAAGCGTAATCTCCTGTCGAATGATCATTTTGATCATTAATACTTTTAAAATGATCTAAATCAAAAAACAATAAGCTCAAATCCCGTTTATTTTTTCTTGAATTCTTGAATACATTCTCTAATTTTTTTGAAAAGTAAGTCTTATTATAGATCGACAAAGGTTCATCTATGCGACTTTTATATTCTCCAATGGGAAGGTATTGAAATTCACTATGTCCCATTGAAATCATCACATCATCTTTTGTTAATGGG